AAAAAGAAGAGAGAGAAGACGAATGTTGAGCGCCACAACCCGAAAGCCTTCACGTTCTCTGGTGGCATTCATAGCGTCCAGCGTCGTGTGCAGAGAGGATTGGATGTGAAAGCCAAGAGAGAGAAAATTGAGAAGATGGATAAGCGCCCCGAAGGAGTAGAGGCTCCACCGTAAAAGCCGGGAACAGGGATCCGTGTGGTATGGCAGTTGGTGGCGTCACTTCAGGTATGTTGTGGTAGTACAAGGCCCACCTGGGTGCGGTAAGACGACGCTTATTCGAAGTCTGGTGAAACACTATACTAAGACAACGCTGGGGGCAACTATTGAGGGTAGTCAGCCGAGGAACCTTGTCACTGATAAGGATCATCCTCGCAGGCCCAATCACCGTGGTATCCGGCCGTAACCGTCGATTGACGTTCATAGAGTGCCCGGCTAACGACATGCGAGCCATGATCGACTTAGCGAAAGTGGCTGACTTGGTAGATCGCCCCGCCCCCTCCTTTCCCATCGGGACGCTGAGTTTTCAGGTTTTACTTATGGTAGACGCCGTGAGGGGGTTCGAAATGGAGACCTTTGAATTCATCAACATTATGCAGGTAAGGCGAACTCCCTATTCTCTGTTTCTGACGTTTTCTCGTAGGTCCATGGCTTCCCACGTATACTCGGAATCCTCACTCACTTGGATGGGTTCAAAGAATCCAAGAGTAAATTCCTCCCTCTCTATCGTGGCGTGCAGCATTATCGGTATCAGGTATTCGCAAGATGAAGAAACGGTACAAAGCTAGGTTTTGGGCGGAGCTCTACGATGGTGCTAAGATGTTCTATTTGAGTGGTATCCAATATAGTGGGACGCGTTATAATAAGACTGAAGTCACCAACTTGGCAAGGTAGGCCCCTCACCGTAACGCCAAGCTGAGTTCTACTACAACCTCAGGTTCATTGCTATTCAGAAGTTCGCTCCTTTATCGTGGCGTCAGAATCACTCTTATCTCGTGGCCCACCGTTGGGAGGATCAAACGCTTGTGCCTGATAGTGACACCAGGACCTTGGCACTCTATGGGTATGTGTCGGGCAGTAGACTACGTACGGAGGGCCAGGCCTTCCACATAGCTGGTGTTGGCGACTTCCCGGCCGCCTCCGCAACGGTGGCCCTCGACCCCTGCCCGCCTCCTACGAACCAGAACCCGAAGATGAAGGGCCTGGCCTTGAGGACCCTGAGTGACAAGCAGAGGAATCTTTATGCGCCCTATTGCGAGCATCAGCATATTACTGTGGACTCGGAGGCGATGTATATTAATACTCGAGAGGCTGAGGAGAGCTTCACGAGGAAGGAAGAGGAGGATGGTAGTACGTGGGAATGGACGTGGGAGGGTTACTCTACTTTGTTTAGGAAGTACCGATGATGAGGAAGCCGGCGAGGGAATGTCCAGTGATGATGATGAGGAGGAGGAAATGGACCCCAGCGAGGCTGTGAAGATGGTCCGTGAGCTCCAGGATGTCAAGTTGGACCTGAACGATAGAGATGCGCCTTTGCCGTTGGTGGCGGGAGGGGCTGCAGTTCCTCCCACTAGAAGGCTTGCTGAGGAGGAGGATGAGGAAGAAGTGATATCAGGGAGGCGATTGGAGGTTGGAAATTTAATTATTATAGTTTTCTCGGAATAGATGGTGGTTACCTATGGTATATTTTTTGGAAGCTTCTTGATGACTGAGCTGGTCTCCCCGTGATGATGGACTTTTTTGAATGGGATTTTTAATTGTGGTCGTTGTGATTGCATAAAACCGTACGCAGGCTCGAGTACCCACGTCTTGCTATTTCGGA